AAGAAAATACTTCCTCAGAAATTCCCTACGGAATACAACCCAAGTAACATTTTCACCTGCAGCTTCTAACCTCTGACACGTCTCTAGCCACCAGTCATCAGCTTCGACCACTAGCATATGAGTACCATATCGAACCTTCTGTGCTGGAGTGCAGTCCATCACACGAAAGATTCTCTCAATCTCTTTCAACCAATCTAATGCTTCGTCAGGATCATATTTTCCCTTGAAGGTAGGCGGATTCTCTCTCTGGAAAGTCGCCAAACTACGAGATCCAGCATTCCCGTCAGCGTTCGACTAATTCTCCATAGCATGCGCCATTGCTTCTAAAGCAGCAGCAAGTGCAACATCATTCCTTCCAGCCATCTCAACTTATCTCTACAACATAAACAACAGTTAGAACTCAAATTAACAATACTCGATTATTAAACAACCTATGACTCGACAACTTGATCGGACGAACCAACTTTACTCTGATACCAACTTTGTAACACCCCAATTCTACCCGACAATATAATGTAAATCAGAGTTATAAAACATATGCAACCGAATTAGGATGCCAAAAATTCAACTTAAAAACCATTGCATTTAACATGGATACATAACACTTTAAAACTATGGATGAACCAACATCAAGATAAGTTAATCTTTTAAATCAACATCTTGAACAACTACGCATTATCAATAAGAATTCACAACAACAATCACAACAACACAACATCTTAACATAAATCAACATTGGCCATAAGCCTATCGCATCAATCAGCGATTAAATCATTAATATAATTAAATAGCAACTTAACATAATTCACTCAGCACGGTTAACGACCAAAACACAACATGTACGGGCAAAAGGGATAGGGAACTACGTGCCCCTCGACATGCACAACAACTAGGACATCATGGCAACTAAATCACACTCCTCAACACGCATAGGGAAAACAGGGTAACAACCAACTTATGCTCCTCGACATGTCCTACAACCTAATACTGCTTGACAATGCAGCACATACCCTCCCCGACACGCCTCACAACCTAATATGCCGCTTGGTACTTAACACAATCAGCATCCTCCTCAACCACTAGTTTGGCCAACATCACATATACAACACAACGTCTTAACGACCACACTACTATAATTCCTAACAACCGGCCAACCGCTCGGAATAACGCAGTAACGGGCAACTATATTACTATCGACAAATTCATCAACATACAAGACAATCACACCGAACCTCCCTAAAACGACCACTTCAATAATTATCAACTTTTCCTGCCAATCGCTCGTAATAACCTAACGTCCTAACGACCAGAAATCAACTATCCTAACTATCTATCGATTAACCAGGCAGTCACACAGATACACCATACATCTACAACACATAATCAGGCAACTCCCTGTAACATCTCCATTAACCAGTCATTCAGTATTCTTCCCAACGACCACAACATGAATAAAACAGGCAACTTCGATAGCAATTCAGAAACATCAATGCACATCATGTTTACAAACGGCCAATTCCCACATAATACACACCATAAGTCCCATTATAAGGTCAGAACCCCACCCTTACCTGGATTGAAGGTCGCTCAACCAAAGCTTCAGCCGTAATCCTTGATTTGCTCTTACTCGACACCGGGCAGCTTGCTCCTCGTCCGTGCAGCTCTATCGGTCAACATGCATAATCCTTATTCTCCAACTAAAACAAATCCTTGTGTTAGCTTCTCCTTATATATCAGTTCTTAATGGGCCTAACCTACACCCATACTTTACTACTTGTAACCAATAACTTAAGTCCAACATTATATATATATATATATATATATATATATATATATATATATATATATATATATATATATATATATATATATATATATATATATATATATATATATATATATATATATATATATATGTATTCCCTTAATTCCAACAATATAATAATTATTAATCAACTAATTAATTAATTAATAATAATCCAACAACTTATACCAATAATCCTCAATAATACACAACTTCACCATTATTCCAAAATAATCTAATTAAATAAATAATTAAATTAAATTACGGGTGTTACAAATTTTGTCTCACTCAATCAAGGACTTAATCCACTATAACCAAACTGATTACAATTTGCACAAGCTACCCGCAAGTGATTAACAACCTCTAGACTCGCAAGCTCTAGGCTTCTTAAGAATTCAGACCTACCCGGTCCCTTAAGGAATATCAACTAATAATTGACCTGGTTATTACAATGCACAAGCTACCCGTAAGTGACTAACAACTTTTAAAACTCCCAAGTTCCAGACTTCTTAAGGATTCAGATCTACCGGTCCCTTAAGGAATATCAAACAACAATTTGAATACAAGTTTTTTTTACAAGAGTATTGCTTCTAAAAAGTTGAGTATGTAAAGTATTTTATGAATAGTGAGTTAGAATGCGAAAGCAATAAACAACATTTACGCGTGAAATATTCAGTAGTTTTGGCTTCTTTCTTTCTTGGTCTTCAAGCCTTTATATAACCATTAACATAATGTATCCGTTGAGGGATACTCTTGGAATTTCCAGAAACACTGGCAGCTTAAACAGTAACGTGAGTGACAAGGTCGTGCGACACATCCGTCCTTTCATGATAGTGGAATGTAGCATTGATTGTATCATGTACTATTTATACCACGTTAACATTATCCTCTTTCCTTATGCACTTTAGAGGCTTCTGCGAGCATGAGTTTAGAAGCGAGAACATAACATCAAGTCATCAGAACTTTAAGTCTTCAGAGTCTTCAGAACCGCATCTTTAGAGTCTTCAGTACTTGGTTATGAGAACATTTTCTTCGAACATTGGGTCTTAGAACTTCAAGTCTTTAGAATCTTTATGCCTTCTGTCTTTTAGAGTCTTTAACACTTGGTCTTCAGAACCCTTATCTTTAAAACTTCATAAATAGAAACACAAGCTTTCAACATATGAACTTCAGTAGAAACTTTGTCTTCAGATCTTCTAACTTTATTTCTTGAATCATGTTGTCTTTAGAAACGTGAGTCTCCAACATCTGGACGTAAGTAACAACTTCTATCTTCAGATCTTCTGACTGGTTTTCTTAGAACACATTATCTTTAGAAGCTTAAGTCTTCAACATCTAGACATAAGTAACAACTTCTGTCTTCAGATCTTTTGACTGGTTTCTTCAGATAAATATCATAGTTTACACTTCAGAGTCTTTTGGAGTGTCTTGCTACTGTTCAACAGAACTTGTGTAGCATAGAAGTGAAATCATTTCTCTTCTAATGTCTTGGCCACGCCATCCATCACAAGTAGAACCAGTTTATTAAGTACTCAACAATAACAAACATTAGTATAACAAAATTGTTCATACGATCATACTCATTTGTTATCATCAAAACTCAGATAATATTGCAGAACCAAATCTCGTTCTTACACAAATAGAAAGGATTTACTGACCTCATTCACAACCAAATCTCCATATTCTCATATTCTTGAAATCGAAACCCCAACCCACAAACAGATCTTCGTCTTCTTCTCGATGAAATGAAGACAAAATATAAAACAAAGTAAATATACCATCATAGAAGAAAGTTCAATAGAAAGTTCATTAACCTTAACCAATTTTACCTTTACATTACCTTTATACTTCTCATAACAACAACGTCAGACATTAACAACAACATTTTTAACTAAAACCAAAAGAACACTCTAGATGGAAAATCTCTAAATCCATCAAATACCAAACATATTAACATAATAACACAACAAATTGAAAAAAAGAGAATGTTGAAACCGATCCTGTTTTACAATAATCACCGTTGGCCGACACAAACAAACTCTGACGAATAATCCTTCATCGAAAAACATAACTATCACTGTTTACGTTTCAACTTTGACAACCATCACCCCACGATACGCAAATCTGGCACCGCTGCTAAGAAAGTTGAGAGAAAGAAGATAAAATACAAAGAGAGGATAGGTTCAGAGAGAAGATAATGAAAAAAGTTGAGAGAATGAAGATAAAATGCAGGTTAGAATTCAAAACAAAACCCTTTTTATGAAAAGAAGAGGGAGAAACAATATTATAGAATGAAAGAGGAATATAATAAAAGTAATATTTAAACAAAAGAAGAAATTAAAAATGAACTATATGATATTATCAATTTAACCAATGATAACAAAGAAAAAACATAATAGAATAACTATTTAGTTGAAATTGAATAATATCACATAATTAGTTGCTAAAAATAATTTTTAGATCAAAATTGCTGCTATTTTAAAGAGGTGACATATGTAAAAGAAAGGACAATATTAAGATTTCCACAACATTTTTGTTAATATTATAGATTATTTTAAACTACTACCATATGCTTCTCTTTAAAAGTTTATTAAAAATTCAATATTTTCTTGAACAAGTAGACTTTTATTTTTCTATTATCCACTAGAAAATCAAAACACTACTTAACCAATTTTCTCCTCTAGATCACACTGACCCCAATCTTTCGTCTATCAAGATTTCGACCCAAACCCCCCAACACCAAACTTGGCCGCCACACGGACAACAGGTACGACTTCTTCCCTCCGCCATCTCCTTTTTTCTTCTTCTTCCCATTCTGCCCCTCTTCCTTCCCTCTCTCTCAAACCCCACCATATTTCCCTCAACCCCATAATAGTCATATCGCGTTTTCCTCTTCCCAAAAAAATCCCCGATATCGTTTTCAAATCTCTGCACAATCTTCCCAATCCGGAAAATCAGTTCAACAACCGAACAATTTTCATTTCACTATTTTGCTTTTTTTTCCGAATATATTCGTATCAGATTCAATTCAAGTTTGTTTCACTTTTCTAGGGTTTTTTATCCCTAATTCGAGGGTTTATTGTTCGAATTTAGATACTACGTTGAGTTGTACAATTGTTTTGAAGATTTATTTACTTTTCCGATTAGGTTTTCATTGTAGGTTCGTCATATTTTGTTGTTGTTGAAGTTAGGGTTCATGGCTGATCGGAGTTTGGCAGTTGTGAAGCCGGTATGGATGAAACAAGCGGAGGAAGCCAAGATCAAAAGCGAGGCTGAGAAAGACGCTGCGGCTAAAGCTGCTTTCGAAGCAACTTTTAAGGGTTTGGATAAAGGTCGTGGCGAGAAGAGGGCTGCTGTTAATTCCGATAGTGATTCGGATGAGTATGAGGACTTGGCTCATAAGCCGATTGGGCCTGTGGATCCTTCGAAGTGCACTGCTGCTGGTATTGGGATTGCGGGAGGGACGGCCTGTGCTGCTTCTTCGTTTGGTGTGGTGACCAAAGATTCTGATGAGAGGAAGGTTTCAATGGGTGGTGCTCAGATCAAGGTGAGAGTGACACCGGGTTTGGGTGTTGGAGGGTCTGATCAAGAAGGGATTGTGAAGGATATGGGGGATGGAACATATACTGTTACTTATGTTGTGCCTAAGAGAGGGAATTATATGGTTAATGTTGAATGTAATGGGAAGCCAATCATGGGTAGTCCCTTTCCTGTGTTTTTCAGTGCAGGTATTCATCATTACTTACGTGCTGGCACTTTAATGTTAATTGTATGTGAATGTGAATATGTATAACTGCCGTGTGGCTCTTTTGAGTTGTTATATATGTTGTCAATAGCGGCATAGTGGCCATTGGCCTCTGTTGGAAGTATTTTGCAAGCAGTTTGCTAGAATGGTCCTTATCGGGCCTTGATTGCAGATAAATGTTTCAGAATAAAATATGTCTTATATAGTATACTTTATAATTTATATTATACTGATATGTATAAATAATTCAGAACAGCAGTTATCCCACTTAGCGTATTATGGGAAGCTACTACGTGCCGCTATCTGTTTCTCTTTTATGCCTATCATTTTTGGCTTGTTTGGTAATCTCAATGATAGTCAAATTTCAATTCATTGATTTGTTTATGTTGTAGGTAATAGTAATGGAGGGCTGCTGGGTTTAGCTCCTCCATCTTCATTTCCAAATCTGATAAATCAAACTATGCCCAACATGCCAAATTACTCTGGCTCTGTCTCAGGGGCATTCCCAGGATTGTTGGGAATGATACCAGGAATTGTTGCCGGAGCTTCTGGGGGTGCTATTCTGCCAGGAATTGGGGCCTCACTTGGTGAAGTTTGTCGCGATTACCTGAATGGCCGCTGTGCAAAAGTTGACTGTAAGTTAAATCACCCACCTCACAATTTGCTAATGACTGCCTTAGCAGCGACAACTTCAATGGGAACACTCAGCCAGGCTCCTATGGCTCCTTCTGCTGCTGCAATGGCCGCCGCTCAGGCAATAGTTGCTGCCCAAGCCCTTCAAGCTCATGCAGCTCAGGTGCAAGCTCAATCTGCAAAAGATTCCGCTGGTATGATGTGTGATATTTTAATTTTTGTTTTGTGTTGGGTTGTATGTTCTTCATTCTCTAGCTCTTATTGTCCTTGTTATTGCACTGTACTTGGTTATGGCTTGTTGACATTTTTTAAATTTTTTTACTGTTTTGTTATTTATTACAACTGATTTTGCTACCACTATCAGGTTCACCTGATAAAGCTAATAAGGAGGACGTGTTGAAGAAAACTCTTCAAGTTAGCAATCTTAGCCCACTTCTCACTGTGGAGCAGCTTAAACAACTATTTGGTTTCTGTGGCACTGTTCTTGAATGTACAATCACTGATTCAAAGCATTTTGCCTATATAGAATACTCAAAACCTGAAGAGGCAACTGCTGCTATGGCATTAAACAACATTGATGTTGGGGGGCGTCCTTTGAATGTTGAAATGGCAAAATCACTTCCGCCAAAACCAACCACGAACTCTTCACTTGCTTCATCCTCTCTTCCTTTGATGATGCAGCAAGCTGTTGCCATGCAACAAATGCAATTCCAGCAAGCACTGATTATGCAACAGACTATGACTGCACAGCAGGCTGCTAACCGAGCTGCAACCATGAAATCTGCCACAGATTTAGCCGCAGCACGGGCTGCAGAAATAAGTAAGAAATTGAATCCCGATGGACTTGAAAATGAAGAGAAAGAGACGAAACAGAAATCCAGGTGTGATATTTAGTTAATTGTTTTAAGACTAATGTATACTATTTTTGCTTGGTTGTTGTATACTATTTTTGCTCGTTGTTCAATTTTTGTATTGTTGTAACTGTTTGAAATTCATTAGTAGCATGCCCTGCATACATAATTTAGGAATCACGAGCTCGCAACATGGTGCTTGAAAAAACTTTAGATGTAGCAAGTAGATCAGTATATTACATTATAATATAAAGATGGTGCCAAAATATGAGGCAAAGCAGAATGGTATAACTACATTTAAATATCCAAATAGTATAGAGTAATAAACTTATAGCTACTTACTAATGATTTTTTTGTTTGTAAAAGAGAGTGTTCTTGATATGCATCAGCATTAATATACTGAGGAGAATTCCATGATGCTTGATATGTTTTTCTTATGTGTGAACAGAAAGGAGACTTTTCACGGAGTAGTGTTGTTGAATTTTTTGAATGAAATGAACTTCCTATATTTTTTTCTAGTTAGAAATGGTAGGGCTACATATGTAGAAGTCAAAGGCAGCAAAAGTAAGAAGCAGAGTAGTCAATAGCGGCGCTATCCTGCTATAGTTGTTCGGAGGCTGACCGCTATGGGAAGAGCCTTAGCGGTGCAGAACACTATAGCGGCCACTCTAGGATAAATAGCGGGGGAAGGTTTCTGGCCCGCTATCCTTGTCCCCTCTAAAAAACCGAAACTACCCCTTAAATTTACAATGTTTTTAGGGTAATTTTGGAATTTTCAATCAAATTTGAATTGAGACTCAACCTTAACCTTCCTTCCTTCATAATTGTTTATGCACTTCAAGAGTCATGTGTGCTTTGATTTATGATTATTTTATAAGTTGTTATTTGTTTAGTTTCACATTCAATATATGTTTATAATTATTATATGGAATTTGTTCAAAAAACGATGAAATAGAGTGGTCATCCCGCTATATGCTATCCCACTTTTGGGGTCGGCAGCTCCGCGCTGCTATCCGTGAATGACTACTCTTGTAAGAAGAAAGTAACACGTTGTTGGTTGCCTGACAGTTGGCAACTCTATCAGGGATCTGTTTATTTTGAAATGAACTATGGTGACAGAATCTTGTTTTGCGTAACTTTTTAAAATTATGTATCTCTCATTATCCTATTGTATTTTATTTTATTTTCAAAGGTCTCTGAAGCTAAAGTTCAATTCCCTTTTGTAGATCACCTTCTCCCCCTCCTGAAAGATTACGATCAAAGTCAAGATCTCCTATCAATTACAGGAGAAGGAGGAAGTCTCGTTCCTACTCACCTCCCCGAAATTCTAAGGTTAATCGGTCCAGGTCACCATTGAGGTTCCATCATCATTCAAGGTATGAAAGGGACTGGAGGTCCTACAGAGGCAGCAGGGAACATAGTGATAGGTATAGACGACGAGATTCAGATAGATTTCTTGATAATCATTCATCTGGTTCGAGAAGAAACAGAAGTAGGAGTGTGAGCCCTCATTCAAAGAGATCCCCTGCTTCTCCAAAACGTCAAGGAGGAAGTTCATCTCATAGAGGAAGGAAACAGTCTCGTGCTGATTCTGGTTCTCCAAGTAATCGCAGAGGAAGTAGGTCTTCTCCAAAGATTGATGAAAAGGCAGTGAGAAACAGAAGGCGCTCAAGGTCAAGATCTTCAGATGATAAGCTTAATTTAGACAAAAATGAAGAAGTCTTGGATGAAAAGGCCAAACAAAGAGAGCGGAGGAGGTCCAGGTCAGTATCTGTGGATGAGAAGCCTCACAGGAGCCGATCTTCCCCGAGAAAAGTGGATGAAAGCAGATCCAGGAACAAGAAGCGGTCCAGGTCAACTTCTGTGGACGATAAGCATCATTTGTCTGACAAATTGGATGAAAACAGTAATAGAAGGTCAATATCTTCAGATGATAAGGTTAACTCCTTTGACAAAAAAGAAGAAATCTCACCTGAAAAATCCAAACATAGAGAGCGAAGGCGCTCCACGTCCGTATCTGTGGGCGAGAGGTCTCAGAAGAGGCGATCATCCCCAAGAAAAGTGGATGAAAGCAGATCCAGGCACAGGAGGCGCTCCAGGTCAAAATCTGTGGACGATAAGCGTCACTTGTCTAGGAAATTTGATGAGAACAGAAATAGAAGATCAAGGCATAGTGATAAAAGGCACTCCAGGTCAAGATCTATTGAAAATAGGGACCGAGCTGATGTCAGAGAGGATGGAAGCAAACATGAAAAGTCAAAACATCATGATACAAAATATAACAGGTCAGAGTCTGATGAAGGGAAACATCATTCTAAAGGTAAATATGATGAAAATAGAGATAAAAAATCAAAGCATCGTGATAGAAGGCGTTCCAGGTCGATATCATCAGAAGGTAAGCATCATAAAGGAGGCACTTCATCACATAGAGACGAGAGCAGTTTTGGACAGAAAAGATTCAGGTCAAAGTCTCCCAATGCCAAGCATCACTGCAGTGATAACTATGAAAATAAAGATGAACGATCAGAGCATCAAGAGAAAACATTGTCTAAATCAAAATCAGAAAATCATCAGCAATATGACGGGAGTGGGCCCTCCCCAAGAAATTTCAAGTATGAATCAAAAGGAAAAACAAAATTGGATTCCGCATATCCAGAAGTTAAGCATCATTTGAGTGATGGAGAAAATGGTACCACTGAAAAATATTCCCCACATCTTGAGAATGCCACACAAGAACCAATTTTAAGTGTGAATGGTAATGGGGTGTTGATTTCTGAGAATGAGAACACAAAGTTAGATGGATGGACTGAAAATGCAGAAGCTGATGATATCCCAGGTATGACAAGTCCTACTATAAACCATTGACATTAATCATGTAAGGCTAGATATTGCAAAATCTAATCTTATTCTTTGATACAGGGTGGACATGTGTCGAAGAAGTCAGAAATGGGAAATTTTAAGCAAGCTTGCTTTGGTAATAGCCAATGATCTTAATTATAGAACAATTTTGATTACTTATGTGTTATTACTAAAGCCATATTTGCTTTCTGTGTGCTTTACAGGAGTGGTGGATCTCAATGATATCAAAGTTTCTACCTGGCTTTTAACAATGCTAACAATATAGCTTTAAGTATAGATTTCTGTTATATCATCTCAATGAGGAGTATTTAAAAAAAGAGAATAATCAAAGTTCATTGCTTTTAAATGCTGATCAGGGAAGCTGTCTAACTGGAAGCTGATATGATTTATATCTGTCACTAGAGCAGTCTCTTGTCAGAAAAAGCACCACACAGATGGTTTTGTCAATGGCTGAAGATTTATGCACCTGTTAATGATTATGGGATAATAGCATATTCTAATTAAGGATGTAACAGATAGACTGTTCCTCTTGGGAGAAATGCTATTCTCAGAGGATGCTTCCTGTATTTGATTGGGTCTCAAGAATATTCTCTGTTGGCTTATGAACATCTTCAATATTTCTTTTTGCAGGTTGGGTTGGAAAAGGTCAGATGTAGAATTCCATAGCTGTTGGTGTGATTTAAGGTTTCGAGAAATGACCTGCTTTTGTCATGATCAACCATGCAGACTATATCATGCTTCTTTTACTGGTTGATTGATGTATGTTGGAATGTTATTTTAACTACACTGTTCTTGTTTAATTAAGTGTCACAATTTACTATGCTGTGTCTTGATAATTTTTCCTTCTAAAATCTGATGGAATCTGAATATTTTGGGTTTCTAGTCCTTCAGAAATTATTGTTATATGATCGTAGATACCTCTTTAACCCATCTCCTGATTATATACATCTAAAATTTTTTGGGCCAATGGTAAAAATGTGTAAACTGAATCTTAGTTTTAGTTGATGTGGCCTTGTTAGTCTCTTGTATCTAGATTATATACCTTTTAGGGGTTTCGTGGTATGATCATGTTTAGTTGTGAGCCCCCACAGGTTCCGTTTTATTTACTCATGTTTTGTGGTACAATGGGCATGTTATACCCAAAACAAATGCAGGTTATATTCACATTGAAATCCATTGGAGCTTTGAGATACAGTTTTGCTGGGTTGATTTTCTCTTCTATAAATGAAGGTATACAGTTCAGAGCATATCTTTTTTCCCCAATAAGTGTTGAGAGCAATGAGAGCTGCTTAACTTTGTATATGTTTCAGTGTTTGCATTAAGTACTATTTACCAATATTTTTATTATCATCATCCGGTGTCTTATATTGTCCTGCATTCTTTTTTCTTTTCTTTTTCCCTTTTTTTTTTTCCTTTTTCTTTCTCTCTCTTTTCCTTTTTCCTTTTTCCAAGCAATTGTCATGGTTAGGTAAAACTTCTATATAAGTTCAACTGAACCTGGATGTTGCTGCAATGAGTTACATCATGCAGCATTTGAGCACTTGGCTGACTTACAGCTTATTCTTTAAGTAAATGCTGAAATGCAAATGATTTCAACAGGTAATTCTCCGCTAAACTATTGGGTTCCGCTATATGTGTAGGATCTTCAGTAAACATTTGTATGTACAGTTTCCACCTTTATATATGAACTTAATCATATCAGCTTTGTAGTGCTTCATTTAGTTTTTTTTTTTGTTTTCATGTTCACAATGATGTTTCCAAATTTCACTTGCTGCAATTCCAATTCTATGAACTGACTGGTTTTCTCTGCCTTCTATGTGTTGTATGTTTTTGTTGTGTTAATTGATATGATTGTGGTTTAAACTACTAAGGTTGTTGCCAATAATTGAGCAATTTGCTTTAGAGAATAAATAAGTGATCTTGTTTTCACCCATAAATTAATAAATCAACTGATACGTTGGCCTGTCTTACTTTATCCCCCTAAAGCGAGAGCTCACTTTAGAGGAGCCAGACAAAGTTTGACGGTGAGATGCTGTATGACTAGAAATTTTCCTTTCTGAAGTACATATGATACATTAATGTTTGTGATTGTGAATCGCATCTGAAGGTTTTCCCCTTTTCTATTTCTATTTTCTTACTCTCTTCCCACCATCTTCTTTCTCCGGTTTCTCTTTTTATGGTTAGGTTATGCATTGGATATGATGATCTTATGAGCTGCTGTGAAATCTCTTCACCAGATGATACTGTGAAGTTTGTTCCTAGAAGTTCTTTATTATATTTTTCTTGGTTTCTTTAGGGTCAAATGTCCTAAATATAATCTGTTCTCTCTTGACCAACTGATCTGGTCACTGACCACAGACCTATAAGTTGGACCTTATATCAGGGTGTTAGGCTTTGCCATATAGTGTTTGTTCTGCATAGTATAATTAATAAAAGAAAAGTAAATTACGAGGTTAATTTGTTCTTAGTTCTTCGAAAAGTGATCTATGAGCACAAGGTCACAGACATGACAGTACCTTTCTCATATATTATCCCTATATATGAAACTCTATGCTCTCTACCACATATCATTATTGACTTGGTTGTGATAAATTGAGTGAATTATAGAAGGGTAAAATAGTCGGTTAAGAGAATGTTGGTGTCGTTCTTGAGAATCAGGTGTAGTTTTCAGGATTGTGGTTTTCATTTGAATAAATTTATGCCTTGAATTTTTTAAAAAGATTTTTTATGTTAAGTTTAACAGTTGGATTCTTTTCTTGAAAGTTATTCTAATATTGGTCGCAAAACCTACAACCACTTATAGCCAACAAGAATGTCTCAGATTATTTAACTTCTTTTGTTTTCAACGATAGATAAATTTTGAACGTGTTAAATTTAATTCACCTCTAATCAACTAATTCAAGAGATTAACCATTATGTATTATCAGTTTAAAAAGTTGATCTTTTTTTGTTACAATAATCAGGTATTAAAATAAAATATACAAATTATTTTTTAAAGAAAATTATGCAAATAATTATGTTTCAGAAAATGTTAATACGTAGTAGTCAAGTGAGATGATGTATGCACTTGAAATTTGGTCTTAAGCGTCATCTCATATGGCACATGCACTTTTCTCAAGTTATGTGAGATGGCGCATGGTATATATTTGTGGGAGGAGGTGTTATCACGAGAGATGAGTATGTTATTTTTTTGTGGTGATGATCTATGGATTAGATGAAATTGTTTTGACGGTTGTAATTTCTTAGATATTTTGTCGTGTTGATGTTATATTTATGTGGCGTATTTGTTGTTTTAGCCGTGATGTTTTTTTTTTTGTTTGCATATGATTTAGTATAGTAAATATTCTTAAAGAAAAAAATAGAAAAAAGTACCGATAGTATTCATATAATATTTATATTTTTTAATTATTTTATATATTCATTTATATTATATATATTTGATAAAATAATTAAATCACATATATTTATTCATAAATATTTAATTTATATTATTTACATTTTGAATTTAGAATGCTAGGAGGTTTAGATGCCACTTACACACCTACAATGATTGATATTAAATTTATACTTGCAATGTGAGAAATGTGAAGATCAGAGACACACTTTTTATCTACCAATAGGTGTGACAAGTGTCACACTAGAGGACATGTACATGTTAATGAATCTCTCGATTGATGGGAAGACAGTGAATGTATTCTTTATGTAAGGAAACTGTTCTGGATTGGGTATGTCCTTGGCTCAACTATCAGTGAGGTCTAATCCAAGCTTGTCAATCTGCTGCGCTGAGCAGTATTTCTACCGAGCATATCCCGACCACAGATGTCTTGTCGACCATGACTGTTTTTCGTCGATGTTCGCGGAGACCATCCTCGACGAGCACGTGCTCCTTCCGAGCACCTTCCTCGTAGGGTTGACTTCCATCTCTCTGGATTTCGTAGAGTATTCATGGTCTCAGAAAGATCACGTCTCTATCTTCTCTATCTTACGGAGGGCGTTATTCAGGTAGGGGACCACGTGCGGGTCCCTACTACACACGTAGAACCTGACAGTCTCTTTGTTGGGCCTGTGTGATCAGCCCAATAAAGAGACCTTAGCCCAACGCTGAAGACTATAAATACCCTCTCTTTCGAGAGGGTCAGGTATTCATTCATTTACACCTAAAATTAATACTTCCTTGCTTATTCCGCTTCCCATTTTACCATCAGAGTGTCTTGCAAGTACCTCCCATCTCATTCAAGTTCAACTCGAAGCCAGCTGTGGCGGTCCAACTCTGATCAGGTTAGATCAGTGCCGCCGTCTGCTGAAAAAGCTGTAAAAGACCTCCTAGAGACAAATTTTATTTCTGAAGTCTGGTATTCAACCTGACTGTCAAATGTTGTACTTGTTAAGAAAAATAATAGAAAATGGCGAATGTGCGTTGACTACACCGATCTTAATTGGGCATACCCCAAAGGTGCGTTCCCTTTACCCAATATTGATATGCTCGTTGACAACTCGGCCGACTATAAAATTTTATCGTTTATGGATGCCTATTCGGGCTACAATCAAATCTCGATGGCAATAGACGATAAACACTGCATTGCTTTCATGACTAGTTCAGGCAACTATTACTACAACGTAATGCCCTTCGGTATCAAAAACGCAGGAGCAACGTACCAGCGGATGATGAACAAAGTCTTCTGCAACCAAATCGGGGATATGCTCGAGGTATACATGGACGATATGATCGTCAAGTCCCGAGCAGACACCGACCATGCTACCCATCTTAGGGAAGTCTTCGCCTAAGCAAGGCAATGCAAAATGAGGTTTAATCCCGAGAAGTGCACGTTCGGGATTAAGGCGGGCAAGTTCCCCGACTTCTACTTAACAGAGCGAGGAAACGAAGCCAACCTCGACAAGTGTCGAGCTTTCTCCAACCTCCCCACACCTACGTAGAAAAAATTCATACAAGTCTTGAATGTCATGCTCACCTCACTATTCTGTTTTGTTGCAAAATTCGTGCAACACGCCCTCCTTTTCTTCAAGCGGCTTTCGAATGGACCGAGGAATGCGAGCAGGCTCTACTCCATCTCAAACAAAGCCTCTCGCAGCCGCCCGTGTTATCGCGACCAGTTGACGAGGAAACCTTATTTTTATACCTAGCCGTCTCAGTCGAAGCCGTCAGTGCAACCCTCATTCGTGAGACGCGCGATGGACAAAAACTCATTTATTTCACGAGCAAGGCGCTTCAAGGGCCCGAGGTTAGATCCCAACAGATAGAAAAGG